AAAAAAAAAAAACACAGGAGTGAAAACGTCTCGATACAAAACGCCCATCCCCATCTGAAGATGCCACGCTTCCCTTCGGTAGCTCATTTCCCAGCCGATTATCGACAACGCAACTAGACTCAAGTAGTCCCTCTTTCGCTTAAAGCCCGGGAAAAAATAGACAGATTTCGCGCGTTCATTTTCATGCGCCACGTTCGACAGAGTTAGCGGAAGAGGGACTACTTACAGTCTACAAGGTAATACAATGTCAATTCAAATCGATCAGTAAATTCAATTTGTTCAAGAATTTTGGTTTTCATTTCCATTGCTTTACCTCATCGAATTCACCAATTTGTATTCTGTAGATGTTTACACAAACTCAACTTTTTTCTTTTTCTTCTTCTTCTTCTTTTTTAGTTTCCAGTGAATACTTGAGATGTGCACCAAAGTTTGGTGGTAGCCTGGTATACACCATAAACACCAGTTGGACGTCTCACACAGAAGACATAAAAATAATGTGTACAAGAAAATTAGTGTAGTTTTTCATGTGCTAGCATTTTACTTATATACTCTTCAGCATCTTATGGAATTAAGATAAAGTATTACCAGGTTTTTTTTTTGTTTGTTTGTTTTTGTTTTCGTTTTTTTGTTTTTCTCTGTAGGGTTTTAACCGTTCAGATAAATGGACCATTGCACCTTAGTGAGTGAATTAGAATAGCAGACATTATTAAAAACTGGATCATGGGATAATGTAATTCAAAAGTGTTCTTTGTTTTAGCCGTCATGGTACAGTACATAAGCCATCATATGCCCTTTAAATATGGTAAGCGTATGGGCGTAATTTCTAGGTACGTTTTTTTTTTTTGTTCAGTTTAGTTTTACATATTTTGGACGCGTTTATAATAAATCATTATTCTAATCGCACTTGTTGGATATGAAATAATTGTACCCAACTCATATCTATCACGCGCTCGTGGAATAATGATTAATTATTCAGCGTATCTTTTTATTATCGTGCTACGTCAGAGTACAGTTATAATGGTAGCTATAAGCATACCCTTTTGCTGTAGTTTTTAGAAAATTCCTTGATAAACTTGATCACACAGAGTATGGATCTAAGATAAAATATTACAAGAAGACTTTTTTTCGGTGGAGTTGTAAAACTTGAGATAAACTGTCGTAGCAGCTAAATAAACGAGCTTAAATTAGCAGACATTGTTTACATTATTCAAAGCCTGAACACAACGATAATCAGTCGACGGCTAATCCCTCTCAGTTGAAATCAAAGAAGCACTTAAACATGTTCAGTTTTGATAAAGCCTTTTCAACTGACGTCACGGCGGACATATTCATGTTCTTAAATATACCTCGTTTGTGAAATGAGCTCTTTTGTAAGAAAGCATTTTCTACTGTTTGGGAACACCAATTTGGTCAGCATGAAAACGCTCTATAACATTCGACGAAATTTTAAAAGGCGCACTGTAATCGTAAGTAACTGCAAATTGAACTTGCGTAGAAACTTCAGTGCATTGGTTGGCCAATCACACTCACAAGTTTCTTCGCACACACGTGCAAGTTCCAACTTCAAAAAAGGTTACATTTCCTGCATTTCATTGGCTAATAGGTTGCTTTAGAACGAATGGACGTCACTCAACTTGCGTTGACTTGGGTTGGGGGCTAAAGGGTAAAAAGGTTACGTCGACTTTCGTGCAAATTTAATGTCGACCGAAGTGTTTACATTGGTCCTGAAAAGTCTCAATGGGGAGTGGCCAATTAAGTATACCTAATTAAGTATACACAAGTGAACGCAAGTGCAACGCAACGCAAGTGCACGCGAGGCCTGTCCACAAATAGAGTCGCAAGTAGACTAAAGTTTGCAACTTACGTCTACTACCGGTCCATTTAGCCAGGGCTTTAAGGCGACGAGTTTGAGCCTTCCCAACCCTTGTTTTGATTTGTGACAAGATTTAAAACATCCGCGAATCTGATTGGCTCTCTCGTAGTTTACTATTTAACAATTAGTCTATGAGTACACGTGGGATAGGAAATGATGATTCCAAAAAGCGCCAATAGAAGATTGCAATAAGACTACTGATAGCTATTTCACCACCCATTTTTGGCAGCTTATCTCTTTGGTATGAAAGAAACCGGCGAGAGAGCAGTGAGGGGGTGGGTTGCTTTCTCAAAACAGTTAGATTTAAAGGAGGCGTTACACTTCACTTACACTTGTCTCGATACGGTGCTCGATTGTGCGCCTTCCAGATTAAAAACTGGAAAGTGTAACGCTAGATCGTATCACTAGGTTAGAGATCATAGTAACGCAAGTGTGTCACGTGATTTTGTAATCGATATAACACCTTTTTAGATAGAACAAGGCGTTGTCTCAAGTGTATTCTAGGGAACACTCGATTCCATTAAAGCNGAAGGACTATGTTTGCTAAAGCAAAGGGACAAACAAAACAGGACATGACTTAAGTAGAACTCAATTTGATTTATTTGATTCTTTGATTTTTTTAGAAAAGAAGGGATGTAACGATAGATCGTATCACTAGGTTAGAGATCATAGTAACGCAAGTGTGTCACGTGATTTTGTAATCGATATAACACCTTTTTAGATAGAACAAGGCGTTGTCTCAAGTGTATTCTAGGGAACACTCGATTCCATTAAAGCACTTTAAACAGTTTTCTATGATCTGTTCGATATCGAAACAGAAAGGTGATTCAGTCAGTTTCTAATGATTAGAAAATTTCCCCGTGAAAGGCTTGACATAAAAATACTGACCAATAGAAAAAGACAAAAAGCTATAGTGGGGCCTCGATGTAACAAACCTTTATATGACAAAGTCCTCGGTATAATAAGCACTTAATGAATGGCCCTAAGAGAAACTGTGAGTTTTGTTTCCCCGAGATCCTCAATGTTCCCCGACGCGAAGCCGAGGGGAGCATTGAGGTCGAGGGGAAACAAAACTCACTGTTTGCCGCGGGACCAGTCATTGAGTGTTTTGTTATACCTCCCGACTCAAAAATAGAAAAAAAATGCGAAGAAATCGTTTGCTTGACGCCGGCTGACTCACAAATTTGCCGCGGTTTCAAGGAGCAAGACCTGATCACGAGCGAGTTGAAAGTTTAAGTTGTTGTTTTCTTAGGGGGTTAGTGAGTTTTGTTCGTCCTAGGGAGTTAGTGAGTTTTGACCCAGGTTACGTGACACATTCTCTTCCAATCGGAAAACGTATTTGAGTTGGGAGGTATAACAGCTAACAATTATTGCATGAGCTCGCGTTGGACATTAGATGGTAAATAGCCAACAAGACCCGAAGGGACGAGTTGGCTATAACCAATCTCATATCCAACGAGCGCGAATGGAATAACTGTTTTACTAAATTTCATTATTAAATTCCGTACGCTAGTATACTTGAAAGTTATAGCAAAATTTTATTAGATTTTAATTTTACAAAACGACCGGAAATTAATGTGGCAAAAATAACAACAAGTGGGAAATCACATGACATGCGCGCTGTTTGCAAACTTAGTTGGATGAAAAATTGGAAAGCGAAGCAAGCGAGTCTGCTGAATGAAAATTACAATCATGTAGAATTCAAGGAACGTCTACCAAATCAGGGAGATAGAACCCTTGTCATAAAGTTTGAAAAGCGTTCAAGTTTGAGTCATCGAGAAGAGTAATAATTGTACACTTGGACATTGCAGTTTTGAAAATATTGCGGAAAACTTTGATCGCCATGTGACAGAGACGTTTGCCGAGTTATGTTTAGCTCAAACTACACAACTCCTTGAGGGGTTTTTCTTAACGAAAGGTTTGTTGGCGTTAGCTTGCGTTGATTTCCTCGTCCTTATCGGCCTATATTTAAAAGAGACCGAGATGAAACTAAATCTTCCTCTGTAGCTGTCCGGGGTTTTTGCTCTCTGCCGGTCGGAGCTAGCCGCTGTCGAACTGTTTCTTCATCTGCTCGTTGGAAATTGGTTTCCTATGGACTACGCCGAAAATATTGCCTGTCTTCCTGAAGTCTGTTACAACTACTCTAATACATTACTTGCTTCAGTAAAAGCAGGGTCAGCGATTATTGAAAAGGTCTTATTGTGCGGTGGTGACCGGAGAAAGCGGGCAGGGGCAGCTCTTATCGACTTGATTGAAGCGCTTTTGTAAAAACTTTCGTCCTTGTTCCTCGCGGACGTGTAAAAATTATTAAGGCCACATTAACCTCATACTAAAGTCTGTAGCTTTCTTGGTCATTGTAGGTACATTTTCTATTAGTTCCTGAATTTCTTCGGTTCAAAGCTAGGGAAATCTTCTTTCGTCGGACATTTTGTGCACGAGAAATTTTGCTTGCCGCACAATTTGTTGAGCTTGGCGTCACTTGGCGCTGTTAGTTTCCACATAAGTTCAAATGCAGGTGTAATGACTGGCAACCGAGATTGATTGAACCAATCAGCACGCTAGAAACGCAATAACCGAGGTTGAAATTTTAGTAACAAATGATATTCCGGCCGGCCAAAGTTACAGTAAAATTATCTATTTTGTTTTGTTCTTCAGTTCCGCAACTCCTTTTAGTTTCGAAATATGTGTTACGATATCCACCGTTATATAATATTTTAATCTCTTTTTAAAGTTTAGGATTATGTAAACCTGAAGAAGGCTGACCTGAACAAGTTCTAAATATACGACGTTGTGTCATCCTTGCAGTAGTCTTTGACCTATAATCGTTTTACTTTTTTTAAATCTTTGAATGTCATATCATGTACAACAACAACAAAAACAAGAACGATTTATTTCAGTATTCCCATATGAGTACACGGTATTACCTTAAATATAATACAGTTAAAATAATGTAACTAAATTACAATAATTTAATTGCTTAAGTAATAGTATGCTCTCTGTAATCCATGCATGATTATATAATAACCCAAATTATTCTCGCATTTTGATTGGAACTCACCTATGATATCTATTAGAGGACAGGCGCACGATTGGCGTCATCATTACAAAGTTTTTCCCTCTGTGTTTTAAAATGGCGGAAGTTTTGAGAATTTATGTAATAATTTAAGTGACTGGGCGAAAGATAAGGTACAAAAAGTCTTGTCGAGGCATTCAACAGGTATGAGAGGCAGGAAGAAGAAAGACAAAGCCGTTTCTTTTTTAGAAAATGACTCAGAAAAAGATTAAATTTTGATAGACATTTCAAAATAAAAATGAGCGATAGAAATTTTACACAACGTTACGATGTCGTCATGACATCATTATCAAGAGACAAGAAAATAACGGTTCAACAGTTTTATATATGCGGTGAGAGATGTGATTGTTCATTAACATATTTGTTTAAACAAATAGTTTCGCGCGGATGGAATCCGATTGCGTGTTCAGGCTAGGTTTCTTCTTCCTAATAAACAGCATTTCGAAAATCAAACAATCCAGTTTTCCGTTTGTAGTGTATTGAGCCAGCGGTTGACATTATGAGCATGCGCACTTATGCGCATTCTGTTCCATGTGTTTCGATTGAAATAAACCAAATACATGACAGTGGCGACGAGGAGGAAGTCGTAGGAAAACGTCGAAAATATGACTGCTATCGGGAAGATAGAGAGTTTTGATGAGACACAAGAG